TTTAGTTGGAGAATGACAAGTCACATGGTCGGTCTGGCTGGGGAGTTTATTCTCTGTTATTGGTTGCAACGTGCTTAACACATTTCGTGTTTACACAAGCCTAGACACTTTCTGACTTTGGTAAGAAGTAACATAATATATAATGTATACATAATCAATAAAGGCAGTATATATATATATATATATATATATATATATATATATATATATATATATATATATATATATATATATATATATATATATATATATATATATATATATATATATATATATATATATATATATATATATATATATATATATATATATATATATATATATATATATATATATATATATATATATATATATATATATATATATATATATATACTGTATATATAACAGAGTGAAGTAACTATGGCATCTATACAGCATTCCCAGCTTTCTTGAGGCAGCTTTAGCATTGTTGTGGATGTTTGGCTTTCATGACATATTGGAGGAAACGGTGAGGCCTAGCATATCTATTTTAGAATTTGGCAAAATGATTGCATCCTGAAATGTGATTGGTGGGAGATCATCTAATTTGGAAAGTGTAATTGGCAAATGCTGTGATTTATTACTATTGAATTTAGCCAAGTTTCTACCTCCCCATTTAGAGATGCTACACAGATCAGCATTGATAGAAGTTATAATATCAGCTCTAGAAACAGATCTACAGTAGTTTGAAAATTAGGGGGAAGGGAAAAATGTGAAGAAGAGTGAAAAGTAGAATCATCAGCTTAAGAATGGATAGAATTATTTGCAGTGTGAAGTAAATCATTGATAAAAAGAAGAAAGAAAGTAGGTGAAAGAACAGAACCCTGTGGGACACCACTATTGGTAGAGAAAGAGTGAGAGATCGATCCTCGACAACAACTGCCATGGATTGGTTCTCAAGGAAGCTAGAAATGAGAGAAAGTGGAGGAGAGAAACCATCAGAGGGAAGTTTACACGGCAAAGTCTTGTGCCATACCCCGTCAAATGCTTTATAGATGTCGAGGGCCACGACGAAAGTTTCCCCATAATCCCTAAGAGAGGATGATCAAAGATAGGTGCAGTAGGAGAGCAGATCCCCAGTAGATCTTGCCTGGCAAAAGCCATACTGGTGATCCGACAAAAGAGAATGGCATTCAAGGTGACGGGCAAAATAGGAGTTTACGATAGTTTTGAAAATCTTAGAGAGGGATGAAGTTAGGGCAATGGGGCGACAGAGGGATTAGAATGGTCACCCTTCTTCGGGATGGGCTTAACCAAGGCATGCTTCCACGAAGAAGGAAAAGTTTGGGTTTTGAGGCAAAGGTAAAACAGGTGAGCAAGCACAGGGGCCAGAATTTCAGCACCCTAAATGTATAAAAACGCCAAATGAAAATATGAAAAACGCTAAAATTACACTACTATATTTTACAGTATTTTAGCTGGGAGAATTTAGGATAAAACTTTTGTCTGAATTTTCCTCTTGTAGACATAGGTTTTTTTTTTTAATAATATATACAGTCCCAGAAAATGTGAGGAATAAATAAAAATATTACCAATAAATAAGTTTAAAAAAAATACTGTACAGTATTGCCAAATCAGTAAATAAAAGCCAAATGAAAGTTTAACACAGTCGCCATATGCATACACTCCCTGCTTCATCGTAGTAACAAAGACCAGCTGGGACACCGATTCCCTAGCAACTCTCCCCACCCCCTACACTATGCACCCTCCTCCCTCTCCCTCACTGAGCCAGCTGTATCCATCAGCTGCATGGCAGTCGACAGCAGCCTGTTTCCATTCATGGTAACCAACACTTTTGCCGCAGGTGGAAGTGGTTGCCAAAATGGGGGCAGGATGAAGTCAGTCTCAACAGGTTCTCCTTGCTCTAGTGATTGAACGCTATGATTAGAGCCAACTTCCTCATCCTGATCCTGGAATCCACTAAAATCAGACTGACTTGGTAAAGGTTCTTGTAATCTTCTTATTGCCTCATTATCTAGAATATCCAATAACCCACTTTTCTTAGCAGAAGCAGGTTGGTCTAATCGGGGATTAAGTCTGTTACCTATCACCCATTAATTCTAAACTTTCTGCCAACTTGGGATCTTTCCAGTGTTTTACATTTAGAAATTTACTCTTCAAGGCCTTATTCCATCTAGTTTTAATTTGGATCTGCAATAATTCTTTCTTATCTCCTGCAGCTTGATTAATTTAAAAAATTTGATCATAACAAACTGCACAATTCAATGGTGAAAACAGGTTGTCTGAGACACAGCTGCTATGAATTATGCAAGCCAAATGAGGATCTAACTTGGTAATCCAAGTGGCTCTACATCCTTCATAATTACATGTACTAGTATGGTCCCCTTGGGTCCTGGGTGAAACTACTACTACTGAATTCACATCCTCTAGTGACGGACATTTCCTTGTATGTAATGTATGAGCTGAGCTCTCCAGACCTTGTAGCTCCTCACTCAAAACTAGTTCCCCAGGAACAGTTCCATAGTCTCCTCCATCATCTAACAGTCCAGACAACTGTCCTTAGTCCTCCAGTTGCACATGACTCATCTAAATTAGGAGTAACACTATGAGTCACATTGCATCATCATAATAGTACAAGGCAGATTACATTGTCTCCCAAGCATAATCAATGTGACTCTTAACTGATATTTTAGTAAGTTATTTCATTAATATCTCTTATTGTTATATAAGTCACCAGTGTGACAATCATAAACAACTAACTCACTATATCATACACCTCTCCCTTCTCTTATCTCAATTATTCCTCAGCTCAATGAACTTTGTTTCTTAATCAAACTAACTTCATTTAGAGCATTTATATTTTGAGGGATCATCAAGTTCTCTATTTATTGCCAATCAGGGTGCACAGACATCATTGCTTCAATTAATTAGCTTGAGCGATAATGCCTGAGTGAGCATTATGTCACTCGGGAGGGTTGACAGTGCTGAGCTGTTACCATAGCGCTCCATTGGCTAACATCGTTCACCATTACTCTAGCAAGATGTACTGGGTTGAGAATTCCACCCTGAATGGTTCTCATATAACCCATACTGAGGATACAAGGTCCATCCCAACATAACTCTAGATTGCTAGTAAGACCGGAAGGTCAGCGTCTGGAAGGATCACTAAGACTAGCAGCCTCGCTAAAGTTTGCCTAGAAGGGCTGAACCCGCTACTGAGGACATAAATAAAATAGAGTTATGAAGATAAAACCTTAACTCGGGCCTGCATGCTGAGAGTAATTAGAAAACCCAGGGCGGAAGCCCGAAAAGTTTTGTGAACGAACATGAGAAGAGGGAGAGAGATGGCCACATATATACATATCACATCATTTGTGACAGCGCCGTCCTAGGGGGGTGCGGGGCCCCTCAAAACTGTGAACTAATGGAGATATCTGTATAAAAGGAAAATTTACTACAGTACGTATCTGCAATTAAATTTTTGTGTAAATTCCTTGTTTACATGGTGACAATAGTGAGATCTACAACATGACATTAAAATTCGCAAATTCGTGGATGATACCCTGGATGTACCCAAGAATATCTTTGGGTAGTTTTAAAGTTATGCCATTTTTGCAGCCGGGACAGAGAGCCATTCGTTTTAGAGACAGTAATTTCTTTTACCTGTTTGTTTGTGTGAGGCATTAGATACAAGAAAATAAACAACAACAACAATACTACATCACACTTTACCTTGATCACTAAGGAAGTAGTTGAAGAACTTCTTAAAATCTCCGTTGTAGCAGTGTGGTGCCCACATACGATGGTGGTGGTAGTACGAGACGACGACATCACGGGGGTCACGCGCCACGTAAATCATCTGCAGCGAAAAACAACAAATAAATTACCTGCAGCCACAAACAAACAAACAGAAGAAACAAAAAACTAGTAGTAGTAGTATAGTACAGTAGTAGTAATAGTCTGTGGAAATTATACACACGACCATGAATTGACAGTCGCCTAACCTTTCCAGCCACTGACCATCACCACACCAAGCACTGGACCCTGATGTACACTACCCCTCTCTGTAACAAAGTGTGTTGGCATTCGGGCCTTCGTTATTGAGCAACGGAAACTGGACAATGATTACACGAGTTCATGAAGATCGTCTTAGTGATGTGAATGTGTGAATCTACTTAGGATTATTGGCGTTATTCGTGACTGTATAATTGAAGATCACTCTCCACCGATTGGAGGTACAGCCTAGGTCAGGAGGCATACAACCACAAAGTCAAAGCCATATGACAAGATTTATCTGGATTTTTGTTTTTGTTTTTAATGAGTTGTGTTCATGGCTGTGGTTGACCAACTACCGCCTGGGAATATATTGGAAGCATAATGTATTATCTAATGGTAGACCCTGCTGCTATATGGCATCACTAAAATTGTGACCAAGTCCCAGGTTTCTAATCTTACTTTCTGCCTCATTTACACACAATTGCAGGTCTCAATTGTTTCTCTTACTTGACAACACAACATATAGCATTTCTCACTATTGATTATTTTTTCATTTTGTATTTCTTTATTATTATTATTATTATTATTATTATTATTATTATTATTATTACTGTATTATTATTATTATTATTACAGTACAGTATTACCCCGCTTTACGAGGTTTCACTTAACGCGATTTCTCATATACGCGGTGCCCTCGCCAGAACCGAAATTTCACTTAACGCTGTTCATCTACTCATATACACGGTGAAGTATAATATTTTTTTTTTATTTAGCTCATAAAATTCATACAAATTACCCAGCCAGAATATAATTTACATTGCTGGAATTCTTACAATATGATGATCATTTTGAATATAAACATCATAGATTTTGCATTAGACATACAAATTTTAGATATAAGGTTTACTCTGACTAAATATGTTATCATTTGTGCAAAATATATGACATTTATATTCAAAATATTCCTGGTCTTACAAGGAATCCAGCAATGTCAATTATATTATCCTAACTTTAGTTTGAGGTATTATTTATTACTAAAAAGGTAAATATTCTGGTTTTCCCACACATCTGGTAGGGAGGGTTGGTGGGGGGTGGAGGGAGGGACCGACCGACCATTTGGCACGGTGTGAAGAATATTTTTTTTTATTAAATGAAGATATTTGTTTTAGCTCATAAAATTCATACAAATTACCCAGCCAGAATATAATTTACATTGCTGGAATTCTTACAATTTGATGATCATTTTGAATAAAAACATCATAGATTTTGCATTAGACATACAAATTTTAGATATAATGTTTACTCTGACTAAATATGTTATCTTTTGTGCAAAATATATGACATTTATATTCAAAATATTCCTGGTCTTACAAGGAATCCAGCAATGTCAATTATATTATCCTAACTTTAATCTAAGGTATTATTTAATACTAAAGGTTAAAATCTAGTTTTTCACCCAATATTTCTCTTGTAGGAAAGGTTGGTGGGGGGTGAGGGGGAGGGTTGGGACGGACCAACCATCTGGCGCGGTTGGAAGAGGGGGCAGGGGGGCGAGGGGGGGGGCAGGAGGGGGGCGAGGGGGGCAGGGGGGGAGGAGGGGGGGAAGGGGAAGGAAGGGGAAGGGCAGGGGAAGGGGGCGAGGGGGCGAGGGAAGGGGGCGGGGGGGGAGGCAGGGAGTGGGGGGAGGCGGGGGGAGGTGGGGGCGAGGGGAGGCGAGGGGAGGCGGGGGGGAGGCGGGGAGGCGAGGAGGCGAGGGAGGAGGCGGGGGGGGCGAGGAGGGGCGAGGGGGGGGGGCGGGGGGAGGCGGGGGGCGGGGGAGGCGGGGGGGCGGGGGGGAGGCGGGGAGGCGGGGGGAGGCGGGGGGGAGGGGGGGGGGAGGGGGGGGAGGGGGGGGGGGGGGGGAGGCGAGGCAAGGTGGGGTACTTTGATTGACAGAGTGTCGTGAAGAATATTTTTTTTTTTATTAACTGAAGATATTTGTTTTAGCTCATAAAATTCATACAAATTACCCGGCCAGAATATAATTTACATTGCTGGAATTCTTACAATTTGATGATCATTTTGAATATAAACATCATAGATTTTGCATTAGACATACAAATTTTAGATGTAATGTTTACTCTGAGTAAATATGTTATCTTTTGTGCAAAATATATGACATTTATATTCAAAATATTCCTGGTCTTACAAGGATTCCAGCAATGTCAATTAATTATCCTAACTTTAGTCTGAGGTATTATTTGTTACTAAAAGTTAAAATTAGTTTTTTCACCCAACATTTCTCTGGTAGAGAAGGGAGGGGTGGGAGGGTTGAGGACCGACCGACCATCTGGCCAGTTGGAAAGAGGGGAGGCAAGTTGGGGTACTTTGATTGACAGATAGTGTCGTGAAGAATATTTTTTTTTTTTTTATTAACTGAAGATATTTGCTTTAGCTCATAAAATTCATACAAATTACTGGAACAGAATATAATTTACATTGCTGGAATTCTTAAATATGATGATCATTTTGAATATAAACATCATGGATTTTGCATTAGACAATAAAATTTTAGATCTAATGTAATAATTTGGTTTACATAAAGCAAGTATTTTATCTTTTGTGCAAAATGTATGAAGTTTACATTCAAAATATTCCCTGACCTGCAAGGAATCCAGCAATGTCAATTATATTATCCTAACTTTAGTCTGAGGTATTATTTATTACTAAACGTTAAAATCTAGTGTTTCACCCAATCATTTCTCAGAGGTAGGGGCCAGTGAGCTGGGAAGAGGTGGGGGGGGGGGTGATTTGAGTCTATTATTTGAATGGACATTAACCTGGCGACTGTATTTCTCTTAAATATTAGTTGTGTGAGCATACCATCATAAAATTTAGATGTTATTTTTACTACAACATAGGTATTGTGTCGGAAAAAGTGGAGTTTGGGGGTCGGGCCACTCTCTTTTGGAATTAATCCCATGTGTTTTATTGTTCCATTTACGCGGATTTCACTTAACGCGGTACCCCGTGGGTTCAATTGACCACATAAATCTGGGTACTACTGCACAGTAATACCCCGCTTTACATGGTTCTGGTTTACGCGTTTCTACATTTACGCGGTGCCCTGCCAGAACCGGAATTCCCACTTTACTGGTGCATTTACTCATATACGCAGGTGAAGTATAATTTTTTTTTATTAAGCTCATAAAATTCATACAAATTACTCGGCCAGAATATAATTTACATTGCTGGAATTCTTACAATATGATTATCATTTTGAATATAAACATCATGGATTTTGCATTAAACATACAAATTTTAGATCTAATGTAAGAATTTTGTTTACACAGAGCAAATATGTTATCTTTTGTGCAAAATATATGACGTGTATATTCAAAATATTCCTGGTCTTAAAAGGAATCCAGCAATGTCAATTATATTATGCTAACTTTAGTCTGAGGTATTATTTATTAATATACCTTAAAATCTAGTGTTTTCACCCAAACATTTCTCAGAGAGGGAAGAGCCAGCGAATGTGGGAAGGGGGGGGGGTTTGAGTCCATTACTTGAATGGACATTAACCTGGTGACTGTATTTCTCTTAAATATTAATTGTGTGTGCATACCATCATAAAATTAATATGTTATTTTTACTACAACATAGGTATTGTGTCGGATAAAGTGGAGTTTGGGAGTCGGCCCAATCTCTATTTCAATTAATCCCATAAGTTCTGTTATTCCATTTACGCATTTCTCGTTTTACGCGGACCTCCGCGGGTTCAAATGACCGCGTAAATCAGGGTATTACTGTCTTGCCAAACCAGTAAATAAAAGCCAAATAAAAGTTTAATGCAGTCACCACTTGCATATTCCCTGTACTGTACATCTGTACTTCCTGGTTCACCATAGCAACGGAGAAGCTCCCAATGTAGATTCCTTCGCAATGTTGCCCCCCCCACACGCCTCGCCTCCTCCCTCTCCCTCACTGAGCAAAGAAATATAATTATGTTTGCTCTTAAGACAATTATTTCTTTTACTTTCTTCACAATATGTATGTAGGATGGTGTGTGCAAGTAAATGACAAAAAAAAAAAATTATGTATATCTACCCAAAAATACAAGATAAAAATCAACCATAACACCCAGTAGCCCGGTGGTTACAGTGATGCGTCTAACCTGGCTACAATACTGCAAGCAATGTTCAGATGCAAATGTGAAAAGAAAGTTATCGGTAAATCTTCCATTTGTATCAGGTATTTGTAGATGTAAGAAAAAATGTTGCAGGAACGGCATTAATAGATTGTAATGCTTGTAAGAGTTCAGAAATGGTTACTGGTTACGTACCTCTGAAGAGATGGGTGTCTGCTGGACGGATGTTAATCGTCTCTGTTTATCATCATCAGTACAGTAGTTATAAATCAAGTTTTTATATTTACAATAATTGTGTGTTTAAGTAAGCAATAAAATGTTTAATTCTGGAGTCGGCTCGAGTAGAATTTAGCCTTCTGGAGACAGCAACCGAGGGAGTCATTAGCTTATGGGAGACAGCAACTTCACATATAGGATGCAGGCTGATTTTTTTTTAGCCATTTTTCAGACAAAACAGTGTGCTTCATCCATGCACAATCCTAAATACAGATTGTTAAAAAAATAAAAAATCATCATTATTAGGTCAAAAACATACTTTTACTTTACTTTTATCTTCGTTGCAACTAATCGGCTTGTATGCCACTTGGGCAATTACTGGGCATGCACTGGCCCCTGAATGTATCTAAACCTGCTCCAGTGTTGGTCAAGTTCAGGCCTTGAAAGAGCTCACACTCAGTGCCGTCACAACACTCTCGCAGATTGTTCCAAGAGATAAAAAAGTCTCATTCCGA